TACACACACACATATACACACATACATACACACATACATACACACATACATACATACACACACGTACACACACGCGGGGCACGCCACTAGTTTAGGTTATTAACTTTTAAGATCGCGGTACATGCCACCGTCACTTTTCTGTCAAAATGAACTTTCAGAAAAGCAGGGCTAATGTATTATGAGTATCTAACATTATGAAATCACCGTGTATTAAAAAGAGATGTCTGAAGAGAGTACTTTGGTTGATGGCAGTGTTGGGGGCTGGCTAACACATTCCTGTGAGCATCGTTGTGGATCCAGAGCTCCAGTTGTTACCGAATCCGTCTAAAAATTTTCGCTGTTAGGATTTAAATAACACATATGAAGCCGTTATATACAAATTTCAAACGAAAAAAGTGACCTTATTCACGAACTCAAAGGCTCTTTCGACTTCAGCCATTTGATTCACAACATCACTGTCCATTGGCTCCTTATAGCCATCTCCTTAAAAACAAAAACTGTGAAATACTGGCTCTCGAAAGCCAGGAAGTTAGCAGCCATGTGGCATATCAGTTGTAGATGTCGGCCTCAGTAAAGTTGCTAGTGCGCGAAAAAGACCACACTAGAACAGCTGAATCTGAAATCTTTTAAAAGGGGATTCAAAAATTTCCGATACACAAACGAGATTTGCAAAAAATACTGTAAGAAAATTACACCAAATTTCAAAGAGAGAACAAGAACATTACTTCGCATGTGCATGTGGCCAGCTGCCATGTTATCAGCATAGTAATTCTGTGGCGGGGCAAGATGATAATCGTTGTGAGTGTGCGACTGTGGTGCACAAGATCGACCGTCCATATTTGGTACCTGCAGTGACACGCATTAAGGCTTTTTCGAAATGTAATATTTGGAAAAAAAGTACCCGGGCTGGAATGCATCAGGCCGGCCGGTACGATTATGCGTTTTTGCACTATTTCGTGCTATAGCAAGATCGCAATGAATCACATCAGTTGAAAACTGAGAAATACTGGCCCTCGAAATTCAGGAAGTTAGCAGCCATGTGGTATATCAGCTGTAGATATCGGATTCAATAAAGCTGCTAATGCGCGAAAAAGACCCCACTAGAACAGCTGAGTTTGAAATCTTTTGCTTGAACATGGACAAGAAACATCCCCTTAAAACTCCAGCCTTCCAGCTTTTCTCGTCCCCGAGTTAGCGATTTTCCCGCTACAATTCGCACGTGCCCGTCTGTACGTGACTTGGACATGCGTGGCAGTTGATAACACGTTTCTGAGGTCGCATTTGGCCAGGGAACACACTGGCAAGATTTCAGAATCAAAGCCTGCGTGGTTGGCCAGTAGAAATATCCGGACACACACACACACAACACACACAAACACACACTACACACACACACATACACACACTAAACACACACACAAACACACACTACATACGCACTACACACATACACACATACACACACACAAACACAAACACACCACACACACACACACTACACACACAAATACACCACACACACACACACTACACACACACACTACACACACACCACACACACACACTACACACACACACACTACAAACACACGCACGCACAAACACATCCATACACACACTGGCAGGATCATCGCAATTTGCGTTCTTTCTGCTTGTCGACAAAGATGCATAACAAGCAAATTTACCTCTTTCTGCATTCTGTTGTAGTTGTAATCATAGTGCTTGAGATCAGTGATTCCCTAAAAAGAAAATTTGAAGTACAAAACACTTCAGTCACATTAAAGTTACTAACACTACCGAGGATATGATAGCAAAAAAAAGCTTCACGAAAGCTGGAAGGACCATCACTAGGAGAGCAGAAAGGGTAGAGAAATTCCCATACACATCGCTGGTCAGCGGAAAAGTAAACACGGAAAAACAGCTGCTTTTGGTTTAATTATCAAAGCGTAGTATGGGCACATTTATAATAAATAGCAGCGCGCACCAGAACAGCCGGTGCGATCATGCGTTTTGTGCAATTCAGCCCATCGA